TCTTCTCTCCCCTCTTCCCCTCCTCCTCTCTGGGGTTGTACTCCCTAATAAAACCGCAGTCCTTAAGACTCAGCTTCCAGTCTTGCTTCCTGTGAAGACTGGTGAAGCGGTCCCACAGAGCGTGTTCTCCCTGATGACAGCATGCTCCACAGCTGTGATCAAGGGTCTCGCGTGTTAACAAGGGTAGCGCCCAGCTGTCACCAGCTCTGAGAAGAGTCAGCCTGAATGAACCTCGAGAATCCTCTGGCAGAGCTGAGCAGGCCGTGCTGGCAAGAGCTAGGGAAGCCATGTGGAGCCCATCGTGAGGTGTGTGGGCTGAGGTGGAAGGTACACAGAGCAGCTTTCACAAGACCTGGAGGGACACACTCATGAAACTCAATGCTGTGACAAGAATAACTGAAGCTGTTGCTAGTGACATGTTGAGTGGCTCCGTGAACTTGACTGCGCTGACAACCTGCTGTAAATAGAGACGTCAGGGCTTCCTTGGCGGAACACCGAGCAAGGTGGTCCAAAAGCTCTGGGAGCTGGGAAAGCTAGGATCAGTTTTTACTATGTGATTATGATCCCTGTGGCAGAGGGCATTCCCCCTAAGATATCAATATGGAAAGCACTAGCAAGAGGACTGACTATATAAACGTGTGTGTGTGTAATTGTACATAGTACCCAAAATGTTGCATTTAAATAATAGTAAATACATGACTTTCTGCGATTGTAATTACATCTCTCCCTTTCCTTTCCTCCCTCCAAACCTTCCTAGAGACCCCTCCCTGCTCTCCTTCCCATTCATGGTCTCCTTCTTCACAATTGTCATCGCATATGTTTATGTATATACATACATGTTCTTAACTATAACCTGTTCAGTCTATGCAATGTTACTTGTCTGCATGTTTTCGGGGCTGATTATTTGGCACTGGACAATCAATTGGTGTGTTCTTCCCTGGGGAATTCTCCTGCTCCCAGCATTCCTTGGTTGCCTATAGTTATTTGTGTGGGGTTGAAACAGGATTAGGGAGCCCAGTGCCAATGGATACACACACACACACACACACACACACACACACACACACACACACAAATACTCCCTCACCTAAGGCTCAGGGAACTTTGCAGAAGAGGGGATGGAAAGATGCCAGAGTCAGATGATCAAGGAGTTTGCTTTGAGATTGTGCTCCCTACTAATATCAGAAGCTACCTCAGAAAGTCTCACCAAGATGATCACCCAAAGGTGAACTGAACAAGGATGACAGTGATGGACATGCCAACTGGACAAGAAAAGGCCTATGAGACCTCAACCCTACATTATATATTTCTTAAAACTTTATTATCATTTATTGTACCTGTTTCTCTGTTATATTTAGGCATTTTTATATAAATATATATGATACATAGAATCTAATTCTCCCCATATCACTCTCCTCCCCCCTAAGCCCTCCCACTTCCATTAATTCCCTTTGTTTCCTTAGACGGTTTTGTTTTTTTTAAGTTATTTGTTTACATGTGGATTTATGAATCTAGTTAATCAAGGAACCACATATGAGAGACATTTATCTGAGACTGGATTAATTCATTTAGCATGATTTCCTTGCTAACAATTTAATGTCGTCAGAGCTAAACAAAACTCCATGTCTGTGAACCATGTTTCCTTTCTCCATCTGTCCGCTGCTGGACAACTGGTTGATTCCATAACAGTTCCTGTGAACGGTTCTGCAATAAGCATCAGTGTGCAAGTTTCTGAGATGCATTGATCTGCAGCATCTTATGTAAATACCCGGAAGTGGTATAACTCGGTTGTGTGATAGATACATTCTTAGCATCCTTAGGCACCTCCACACTGATTTCCATCGTGAGTAGACTAATTTACATGCCTACCAGGGTTCCGTCATGACCATAACCCCATCATCATTTGGTGTCTTCATAATCACTGCCATCCCTAATGGAGATGGGATTTCAGGGCTTTCATTTATCTCTCTCTGATGACTAATGGGGTTGAGCATGTTTTCATACATTTCAACGGCCATTTGTGTTTCATCTTTTAGGGCTTGTCTGTTTAGATCATTGGCCCATTTATTGTTTTGGTTTTCGATTTAATATTTGCCATTCTTTCTATAGTCCAGATATATCAACACCCCTGCCTGAAGCATAGCTGACAACAATTTCCTCCCATTCTGTAGGCTGTGTTGCTTCTGCTGATAGTTTCTTAGACTATGCAAAAGCTTTTTAATTTCATGAACTCCCATTTGTCATTTCTTGAGGGTATTTGCTGTGTCCAAGGGGGTATATTTAGAAAGTTCTTGCCTATTCCTATACCTAGAAGTCTTTTCCTCTAGGAGTTGTTTTTAAAATTAAGGTCCTTGATCCACTTTGAGCTGATTTTTATGCACGGTAAGAGAGAGGGGTTTAATGTCATTCTTCTGCAGGTTCCACTGTGTATTTTTAAATCTTTGTCAAAATGTATAGAAAGTCTTTCATTTCAATTAATTCTTTAAGATTTTAATTCAATGTATTTTGATTATATTTACTCTCTAGTCCTCTCCCGACGTCTTCTAGATCCATCCGTACCTTTCTACCCTCCTTCATACTTCATGACTTCTTTTATTTTTTAAATAATCCATCCAGTCCAATATGTGCTGCCCTTATACTTACTCCAGGGTGTGGGGCCATCCACCAGAGTATGGCCCTACCTATCAAGGGTCACTCCCTTAAAGAAAACCGATTCTTCCTCTCCCATAATCAACCATCAATATATCTTCAGCTAGGAGTGAGACTTCCTGACCACCGCTCCCTCCATGCTGAGATGTGTCTGTCTTGAGTTTGTACAAATCTTGCATATGCTGTCACAATCTCTGTGAGGGGGAGTCCGTGGGACTCATTCTTACATTTAGCTTTTGATAGCCTATGGGGTCTGGGTGGGGCATTGTCCTCATATTAAATAGTATCTCCATTTAAAAATACATATGCATGTCTATACATATGTTTCTATAGTATTAGGTTTCTCTGACCTTTTCAAAGGTCTGAAGTGTTAGTTATCCCTCCCCATAATCCTTCATTTGCCCTACAAGCCCACTTAATCCTCCTTGCTCCATCATTTCCCATCTCCCTTCACGTTACCTTCATTTTATATTCCTTCCCTTGAACCCAACCCCTCAAGCCTCTTACCAGTTTCTTGGCCTCTATGGAAATTCCAAAAATATCTAAAGATTCAGTGCTAGTATCCACAATTGTGAGAAAAAAATGCTATGTTTGTCTTCTTGGTCTAGGTTATCTCACTAAGAATATTTATGTCTAGCTCTATCCATTTACCTGCAAATTTCATGTTAGTTTAGGTCATCTACTTTTCCATAAAGTTTTTATGTTCATTTGTCAGTTGCTATAAAAATACTTGATAGACTTTCTATTGATATTATGTTAAATCTCTATCAATTTTAGAACCGACAACAATATTGGGAAAATCCTTGGACATGATTTATCTATCCATTGATTTAGCTCCTCCTCGGCTTCTCTGAATGGTATTTTTCACTTCTGGAGTATGTTACTTCTAACTGGCCAAACAACTCTAATTAGTTCATATTTTATGGTACTGTAATAGTATTTTTAAACAACTTATTTTTCTATCTATTGCTAGAATATGGAGAAATCATTTTATCAACTTTTTATACATTTTTATTCAATTTAATTTTCACAAATTAGTTCCGCCATTTTTCTTGTACATAACCCTTGTTTACTATCCTACATTATATCTTAGGGTAGTCACTAAGTATTCTGCTATAGAACACTACAAAGTAGGTGTTTCTAACAATTCTTGAGTCTGGGTAGTAAAAGATCAAAGAGCTAGAAATTTCCATGTTCAGTGAGATCCTGTCTCTGCTGCAGGCATCTGGGGTCTGACTCAGATCTGATCCCCTGCATAAACCCCTTCCTGTAAGAAAGTACCATAAAAATTTCCCAATCTTGGTAATTCCAAGTCAAGGTAAAGAACCCCCCCCCACTGTGCTAACTGCTGCTTCTTACTTCTGTTAAACAGCTTGCTTGCTCTACTTCTGCTTGCAACTGACAACCAGGATATGATTTTTCGCCTTTTAAAGCTCCCTGCAGAAAGTAGTCAGGACTGCTCTGTGAGAACTGTTTCTCTCCATATTAATAAGTACTACCAAATTAGTAATCCTATTTTGTTGAGTGGTCCTTGTGGTCTTCACCCCACAATATTAACCTCATTGTTATTCAAAGTGTTCATATAGGTTGAGCGTCCCTCACCTGAGACCCGAGACTCTGACAAGCTGAGCATCCCTCAAGTGAGACCTGAGGATCTGAAATCTGAAATGCTCCGAAGTCTGCAACTTTTGGAGCAGCAAACTGACATTCAACACTTTCTAATTTTAGAACATTTCAGGTTTGGGATTTGAGGATCAAAAATGTTCAAATGGTAAAGGTTGTGCAAATAATTTATAAATTGAAACACTTCAGTATCTGAAATTCTCCTGATCCCAAGCATTAAGGGTTAGAACAATTAAATTACATTAGTCAGCGTTGAGTATATGTCAGAAAGAACAAGATCAAGAATGGAGACAGAGGTAGCTAAATGCATAAGCAAGGTGAGTTTCCTAATGGCAGGCTGTGGGATTGAGAGAAGGGGGCTGGCACAACTCACAAGGTCATTAACAACAGAGTCGAGGGCAAGATTACAGGATTGCTTGTGCAGATGGAAAGCAGACCTCTTAAGTTTCTGATCTGGGTACCTTCTCCCTTCTTCTGCAGCCCCGTGTATCAATGCCCAGCACCCTGTAGCAAAAGTCTTCTTCAGAAGAAACAAGGCGGACTGAAGAGCTTCAGAAGGTCCCGAATTGTAACCATGCCAGTGTCCCTAAAGAGTAAAATGATCTTCTAACTTATTGTATTGCACACCACTCTGCTAGGAATGGAGAATGGTGGCAGGTAGCAGCCACAGACAGAAGATCCACACAGAGAGGCAGAGACAGTACACACATACACTTGCACTAACTCACCTGCTCCTGTAGCCTGCTGTTTTCCCACACCCTGTGGCACACCATACACTCAAACGTATCAATGTAGTTGTCCTGATTGATGTCTTGCACTCCCCACTTCCGTTCCTGGAGAGCTGTCAGAAGTCGCTGGTTAGAGATCTCGCCCTTCAGTTTCCACTCTACATAGGCCTCATACGATCGGTCATCATAATCCAGCTGCCTAATGAAATTTGCCAGTTCTCTGGGGTGAGAAAATTCCGAAACAAGAATGGCACTTCTGTTACTTGGCAGCCAGTCTGCGATGGTGGGGGATCCATAATACACGGGCACGACCCCCAGTTTCAGCGGTCTCCAGAACTTCTCTGTGATGTAATCATCACAGACGGCATTCTCGAAGGCCAGGATGAACTTATACTGGGCGATGATTCTGTAGAAGCCATCGGCGTCCATGGAGGCTGGGTTTTTCAGCTGCTGAGGAAGCTCTTTGTTCCGTAAACACTCACCGTAGGAATCCACTTCGATGTAAGCCATCAGCTCCCGAACATAGCTGTCCCTGTCTGAGGGTGGATCACAGTCGGACTGTACGTAAACCAGTGGAGCAAGCCTTTGTCTTAGGTTGTTTTTCAACTGCAAAGGAACTAGGTATCTGCGTGATGTCAGGACTTCCACATCCTCCAAGTACTGGGTGGTCAGCGGCAAGTGGGAATGCCTGCTGAAGGTGGCTGTGTGGTTGAATAAGGTGATGACCGGCTCGTGGAAGAGCTTATAGTTGTTTTTGGGGGACTCTTCATGGAAAAGGGCCCAGTCATGATGGGCTTTCCGAGGCAGAGGTAAGCTGTCTATGTTAAAATCAGTACCTAGGAGGAGAAAATAAAATATGAATATGTCCAAAGGAAGCATGAGACATTAGGGTACGAGTATACTCTAAAGGGATGTGATGCTATAAATAACAAGTGTATATGTCAGTGCTCCTCCAAAGCACTTAGAAGTCAACGGTAAAGGATGTGCCAAAAATGAATAAGGAAAGAATTGCCAAACGTAAGGATTGTCGTTTTCATTCTTTAAAAAAGGCACAGGGAAGAGTGCCTGGGTAGATTTAAAAAGAGGCATTAGTCTATTGCCTTCTGCAAATGGCTCTTCATTCCAGAGATGTCGTCTACAAGATAGCAAGGAAATAAAGACATCAAGACAGACAGTTCCTTAAAAAGAGAAAAGCAAGAAAGGGAAGTTAAAATGGAGAAAAGCGACTGGGCTGGCAGACTGATTAATCAAGCTAAGTGGGGAGGAATCACGCGAGAGTAGCATTAAGAAATAGGCAGGATGGATTTTTTTTTAATCCAAAATTATTGATTTCAACAGAGTGCAGTTGATCAATCTTAGTCAAAACAGTAGACAGGAGGCTTTTAAAGCCAAAAGCACTGATAATAGCCCTATGTTACAGACTGCTGCAGGGGTAGGCATGAATTAACAAGTACATCAAAAAATAAAGAGGCCTAACAGGCTTATAATTAGGAGTGATGCTGGCTTCCACGGGATTAATTGGAAAACCTCTGAAATACGATAATATGCAGATTGGCGTGATGGATGTGGTCAGCAGTCGTTTCCTGACCATGGGGGTAGAGATCCGTTCAGGGAGAACGAATTTCTATGACTAAGGAAGAAAAATGAAGACTTCATCACAATATGAAATGTCCGGATGCTCCTGACAAAGATGCTGTGAACACTGGCTTGAGGTTGTTAAACATTAATGTACGGAAATAGCAAAACCAAAACACACATACACACAGACACACACACTAACATGCACGCATGCACGCACACCAGAAGAAGAAAACTCCATCTTCGGCCATCTACAGCGGGATCAAAATGTACCAGATAACTATGGCAGTATGAAACAGCCTCTGGTGGGCTCACAAAAATCAGTCACTTGATGTTAGTTCAAATGCTCTCAAGTGAATACAAACTCTTTGATACCAACAGTACGTCCATGAGAAATCAGGTAATCAAACAGTACTTTAGTCCAAATTGGAGAGGATGATTGTGGCAACCTGGAACTGCTTTCTCACAACCGACTGAGCTCACATGGTGGGCAGGGTGAGAGTCCCGTGAGTCATCCCGTACCTCCAAGCCAACAGTCCTCGTTGACCACGTGAAATTCAACCACAACTTCACAGCTAGATAATATCCAAAGTGAAGGGACCTGTGCTGATAGCAGCTGCAGATATCTCAGACCTGGCTGACTGGGAGGCATGAGCATGATGGAGCATGTCTGAGAACAGGGAACAGAGAGGCTAGAGCGTCCCTGCAATGCCCAGAATCTGGGGGTCTGTTCCCATCAAGCGCAGGATCCCCTACATGCTGCAAAGTGACAGGGGAACTGAGACACAGCCAACTTTGCATTTTGTGACCATGTATACCAACGTTGCTCACCGATTCTTTCCTCTTCACTAGTTCTGCCACGTGTGATGCCAACTTAATCCAACAACACACTGCACAGTGTTCCTGAGTTCCACGGAACATACATTTTTCTCATTCATGACTCAAAACAAAGAAGGAAAACAGGCTTTAAACCTTTATAGGTGACACTAGATTACATCAGAAACTGCTCCTATGGATACTGGCTAACCCTGTCTTCTTAATACCAAACTCATCACCTTCTTGCTTTTCTGTATGTAATAATCTCTCCTCCTTGTTCATCTGTACACAATAGCCCTGCCTCTCTGTTCAATTCTACATAAGAAACACAATGAGCTTTTGGGCTGCTGTGGTTTCTTCAGCAGAGAGCCAAGACTACTCAATCACAGCAAATCATGTGTCCATCTATGATTTTTTTTCCTTCATTCCCTCGTCACCTAGACAAAGACATCTCTGGAGCCTTGCTGTGTGCAGCAGAGCAGGGACACAGAACCCACAAAGCAGCATTCACAGGGCACAGAGAGCCTGAGCTCTACCTCTGCCTGTCTACATCGGTGAAGCGCAGCAGGAAGGAAAAAGAGCTGCACCAAGACTTCTGTGGCCACTAGGAAGGGCCAGCCTTGTTGGATTGGTAACATGAATGGGACTGAAATCAGCCTGTTATTCATGACTCACGTGCTGTGCCTCCACACGAGCTGCTACAGAATGCCAGCATCAGATAGGACAGAAGATGATGAATATTCCACATATGCAGTCTATGGTAACAAAATCAAACAAAACCATGCCCTGCAGAATCTTAGCAAAACTATGCTTGTTTACTAAGAATCAATACACAGAGCTGGACATGGTGGCACATGCCAATAATGCTAGAATTCAGGAGACTGGGGGAAAAAGAATGAGTTCAAGGCTAGCCTGGACTACAGACAGAACAACACAGCATGACCCTGTCTCCAAAACCAAGTATTGAGAATTTACCTCAATGGCAGAACATGGTACCCAGCAGGCACAAGAATATAGGTTCAGTGCCCAGTAACCCACCCCCCAAAAAAAACTAAATATGAAAGCGCAGAGTTCCCATTCTCCTCTTAATTCTGTTGAGTCTGCAGGGATAGGAAAATGGCCCTATTAGTGGGATATGTCACTTTAACAGACAGAAAAGTTAAAGGGCCTAACTTACCAAAAATACTTTACAAATAAAAAGCATTTCCCAGCACCAGGCAGTAGTGGTGCACACCTTTAATCCCAGCACTCAGGAGGCAGAGGCAGGTGAGTCTTTGAGTATGAGGCCAGGCTGGTCTACAGACAGAGTTCCAGGACAGCGGGGCTACATAGAGAAACCCTGTCTCAAAGAAAACAAAAACAAACAAACATAAAAAAGCATTTCTCAGTATCTTTCCTAAGAAAGATGATTTTTAAAATGTCACTTTGTTCCCATAACACTCAGAAAGAGTAAAATCAAAGCCACCACAGACCTCAACTACTACACTGGGGACATCATAGCCTACAGCAGAGTCAGTGCTAGGCCATTCTAAAGGAAGTGGCTGGAAAACCAGGTGAATGATTTGACTTCAGCTCCAGGATAATGTCTATTACAGGAGTGGAGCCAAGCAAAGCAATGGAAATGAAAACATGGAGCTCCATAAAATTCTATCTATGTTTATATGATCACTTTGGCTGCCTCTTCCACTTAACAACTTTGGATTCAAACTTTCATTTCTCTGGGTTATTTTGTGTTTGCTGAATATTGATACATTTATTAGTTAATTTAAGCAGCTGCTGATGAACAGAACTCACACACTAAAATTCACTGTAAAGGGAATTGCAGTTTGGGATAAATTTGATGCTGGCAAATCGTGCCAGACTGCTGACGACAGAGACCGATTTGCAATAGCAGTAAGAGGAGTGGCGGGATGTGTCTATGCGCCTTCCTCCTTCTCAGGGCAGATGGGTATCTTTCACCATCCCTGCACAAACTGGGAAGACAGACGGCAACTTGGATTATTGACCCCACTGCAATCACAAAAGTTGGCTCACTCATCTAGAACCAAAAAGGCAGATGAGGACCAGGAGTCAAACTGGTCAATGTCAGGAAACCAGAATAATGACTGTGGTGCTGATTCTAGAGAGCGAAGAGTATAAATGAAGGACTATGGACATCCTCAAGTGCTCCCACAAAAATACAACCTTAAACCTTAGTACCTCTAGTCAATACAGTTTGCTTCGAAAGAAGGCACGGCTTAACCTAGAAGAGAGACGTGATTCCCAAAGCGTCTTCCAAACTTTACAACAAAATATTCCCATTGTGAAGCCCCGAACAGCCTATGAAAACCCAGTCTACCAAAAATACTCAACAAGGAGAATTAAAACTTTCTGAGGAAAGCAGTGTAGAACAAAGGGAAGCCTGGTGTGTTGCTCAGCGAGTACATGTACTGGTGCTTTTAAAACCTTTTCCTGTCCTGAGTTCAATTCCCAGCAACCACATGGTGGCTCACAACCATCTGTAATGAGATCTGGCGTCCTCCTCTGGCGTGCGGGCATACATCGAGGCAGAATGTTGTATACATAATAAATAAATAAATCCAAAAAAAAAAAAAAGAAGAAGAAGCCTAGGCTTATTTAAAAAAAAAAAAAAAAAAAAAAAAAACCTTTTCCTGTGAATTTTCTTGACTTACCCACACAACTCCAGGGTTCTAAGCAGTAACTAACATTATGAAATAATATTAGGAAGAGGATCTTGTCATATGAAACTAAATTCTGAACAAACGAACTAACCACAAGCACCTCTACGGACATCCTTTCTCTCTACCAGTTGAGAAGGGGCTCTGACAGGGCCCTTGGCTCAGAGAGTCCTCCAACCAACTGCTGGGTCCATATTCCTCCTGCTCCTCCCACTAACTCTCTCCAAGAGTCCCTCTGCCTGCCTTTTAACCACGTGACCATCACGCAGCCTCCCTCTCTCAATTACACACACTCATTAAGCATGCCTATTCCACCCCAGACACGGGACATTCCTCAAGCTCCTTTTGGAGTCTGTGCTGAGGGCCAGTCAATAACTTTGCAATCCCCTTCGTAATAGGTGCAGGGCCTAAGGCAAAAGAAAGATCGAGTCCCATACACCACGTACCTAAGTATTTTAAAGGCTAGAGATCAATCTAACAGGCAATTCAGTGTTCTCTCCTTTTGCAAACATAACTTTATGATTACTAATGTGCACATATATGCACTGTGTAAAGCAGTAAATGATATAAATTTAAAACAAAGTTTTTTTTTTAAAGTATAGTAGTACATGCCCTTAATCCTAGCATACTGAAGGCTGGGGCAGGAAGAGCGAAAGTTCAAGGTCAGCCTAGGCTACACAGCAAGTGAAAATAGCTTGGGCTACCATAATGAGACCAGCCTTTAAAAAAAAAATTTAAAAAGTGAGGCATCCCTGTTATCCGAG